CCATGCCTTCAGAATTCCAGTCCAAGAAAAAACCCCTTTCCCTTGGAATTCCAAGATGCCACCAATGATATGGTATTGATATTTTCTGGGATCACCCAATACCCCTGTACAACCCTCTCATAAGTAACTCATAAAGAAAAGCAAGGCCTGTGACTTGTGGTGACCTTGTCCCACAAATCGGTTTCGAAAATCACAAGGCCATATTAAGAATCGCCGCTATAAAATAGCACAGCTATAGAACCAGATCAATGTAACGTGACTGGATTATATCAGTGGCAATTATGCATCTTTTGCAACAATAATTTGCCACCCTCTACCCCTTCCCTCAACAGAAGAGTTTTCCTCACTTGAGATAATCTTTCCAAAATAATGCTCACATTTCTCTATTTATGGTAAATAAAAGAAATCGTTTGTTTAAGAAGGGAAGCTGAAATTGAACGCAGACTCGTTGGCTTGGCGATACAAATCATCTTTAGGTATGAACAGATCAAACAGAAAACTAACCAGAGCTATTCAGCTGGGATGTACATGCATGTACCTTTATCTTAGCATCTTAGCATTCTCGAATTAGACAAAACGCAGGCTATGAAAAATTGATGCAAAAACAACGCCTTCCTCGGGATAACTTGACCACCAAAGCTTAATACCTACCAATAATTACTTCCTCATCACAAAACATTTAGACAAGTGTCAAAACTATTAGTGGTTGGAAGTTCCAGCGACACGGATCACAAAATAAACAAACTTACTCACCCAAAGTTAATTTGATAATTAGCGTTGTGCATTTGAGCATTAAAAATCCTTAGCTTACCAGAAATAAGTATTAGTTCCATCATCTGAAAATTGTTGAGTCTGTTTGATGTCCCACTCGCAGCTGATGCTGAAAGGCCGGTTGTCTGTTTCGCTTGCATGGCCATTAGCTCTCACGATATCCTTATCAACCTGTGTTTGGCCATTTTGACAGCGGGAGTCCTCTTTGGGTTTCCCCATTTGAGTTAAATGCGCTTTTACTCGGGTACTAGCTACAGCCAAGCTCTCTGGAAGAAACGATTTTCGTTCAAAGGAAGCAAAATTGCGAAACCCAAAATGAGCAATATACCACATGTACTAACACTGCACGCAGACAGAAAGTGTCGGGATATTACTGGCTGGCCGAGAACAGACTGGGGTCCAGACAGCGAGTTGCAATGCTTTACGGGATATTGTAGGCATGCAAAGAGTACAGAGAAAATTAATTTGTCATGGTCGCACTTAATTTCATTT